GATTTCTGATCTTGACAGATTTGGATGCCTATATCGATCCAACCTCACTGGGATTATCTACAATAATCAAATGGCAGATTTTGATATTCCCGGAAAAGACGAAGGTGGTGTTAAACCATCTGAGGTTAATTTTCCAGCGCCATACAAGCGGCCGTTCTCGTCTATGTCTCCTGCCATTTTGACGAACGATAGTGGTGACGTACAGCTTATAATTGGCGCGTCTGGAGGCAAAAGAATCACCACGGCTGTCTCTCTGGTATGACATAACCATGTGAATTTCAGTTGAACCTCCATTAAGCGGCCACCCTCGGGGTACCAGCAAGTGGCCACTTAAATGGAGAGTGGCCGCTCAAAAAGGCTTGTTAGCACAATCTTTTGCAAAAACATCACTCTATTTTGGTGCGAACACGCGACGGGAGCGACATGAGTCGTCACCCTCTGACGTTATTTTCCTTTATTATATCGTGAAGATAATGCCAAACTTTGTAAGTGTATTAAGCGCTTGGAGACCGATCAATGGAGGTGACAACAATAGGAGAACGCTCCTCCGGATGGCCAAGAAATGACCGCTTAACAGAGGTTCATTTACACTTCTTTTCTAGAGCTATTTCGGGACTTTTATTACTGACCCCTTAACAGTGGGTGGTCGCTTATTGAAGGTTCAACTGTACTAGAAATGTTGAAAAAGAAATAAAACTAGCAATGCGGCGTAATTTTCCGGCGGGCAAAATGCTTAATGGTAGTTTCGCTACAAAGTCATTTCGCCACAAGTTGCGATAGTTTCGCTGCATATCGAAGTCGCTTCGCATCAATTTGGAAAACATACAATGATATTTGATTTTAGCGATTGAGTATTTATAGCTACACAAGCTTAAAGGGACACAGTCAGCTTTGAGACCGCGCTGACCTGCAAACTAGCTTTTGCCAGTTTGAAAGGGTTTGTCTCAATCCAAAATCAAACGTATAAGTCGGATACATCTAGAAATCCGCTTCAATCTTGCCTAGTGTTTTATTCGATGCTCGATCTTTTACTAAAGCACAAAGCCTCTTTTTGACCAAACATTTACTCATCCTATTACATTACTTTATCATATTTGGTTTCTTCCACGTCAAGAAGGCCAAGTTGAAAGCTTATGCGGATGATCATCAGGTATACTACTCCCACGTCGATCCGGCAACTCTGGATGCATGCGTATCTCATGATGTTGGCGTGGCCAATCAGTGGTACCATGAAAATGGGATGTTAGTTAATGAGAGCAAGCACCAGTATCTAATCCTCGGTGATACGGAGTATGGTTTTTCCTTCCCAGTAAAGGACACGTTAGAGATTTTGGAATGGAAATAGATAATAAACTGAATTTTTCTAAACGTATATCAAATGTATGCAAAAAGATTAATAATCAATTTAATGTTATGTTGCGCTTTCGAAAACTCATACGCAGGGAAATCTTATTCAAACTTCACAAAGCGTATATTTTACCTCAATTTTATTATTGCTCATCTGTCTGGCACTTTTGTGGAGCGCGCGATGCGGATAAGCTTGAAGCTTTATACAACACTCTTCTCTCAAAAGTCAGCTCTACTTCGTTGTGTAACAAACGCATT